AAAAGAATTCAGATTAATTTAATTCAAGGTTATAAAGTTACAGGTCCTGTGACAAAACTTTTTGAACCCCCCACGTATAATTAATTTAGAATTAAAACCCAAATCTCACTTCTTAAAAAGAAGCCCAAAAACAGTAAAGCAAAACTATAAAAAAGGGAAAGGTGCATGGAATTGAAGGTAGTGAATGTCAGGTGATTATATTGGGTTCACCTAATATAACTGGTTGCTAAAATTTGAACCCTGAAATCTTTTGATAGTCTCCAGAAAATACATTCTATAAGTATAATATTAACAATTCATTTTGATGAAAAAGTATTCAAGAACTAAATGAAATTTTTTAATAACTATCCTTTCATTTCTCTACGTCTAATATAACCAGATGGAGGTTTTTTAATATAAAGATATAATAATACAGTTGTTGCAATTGACAATGAATACCATGTAATTGCATATTGTAAATGTGTATTTCGTAATTCAATTGAAGGTTCTCTACCAACTGGAATACCATCTTCAATTAACTTATTTTTTAAAAAAGGTGATGTATCTAAAAACACATATTTCTAATGAATAAATCAATGTAAACATAAACATAAATATAAATTTCCTCCCTTTTAAATACCTAAACTTTGTTCAATCATTATAGGTTGAGCATTAGTTGATTCCGCCATTGTATCAATATCATTCCAAATCCATTCATTCTTTTCAGGTTTATTTTTAGGAATGAAAATATATTTCTATTTTTGTAAATATTTTTAAAAATTGATATTTATAAAAATAATAATATTTACATATATATTATTTCTTACCTTCTCAGGTTTTTTTAATATTCCTTTAATTGTGACTATATCATTTGTCTATAATAACAAATTAAAATTTTTTTAATTGTCATTATAAATATTTAATACAATTATTATTTTCAATTTGATGATTAATCAATTAATCAATAAATTAACTTGTGAAAGTGGTCTTGTTTTAGGATTGACTTTATCTTTAGAAATCCAACCTCTGTTTACTAATATTGTTGTACTAGTATAATAAAGCTTCTTAGTTTCTATGAATTAAATGTTGAATTAATAATTTTACTTATTTACCCATCATCTTTTCTTTCTAATGGAGTAATTAAATAATAACCAGGTTTATTATTTATTGATCTAGGCCCTAATAATATTTCTTGATCATGTCGAAATTCACCCTTAGTTTCTACAGGTCTATGATAATAATCATTTAATACATCTAATCTGTAAAAGTAAAAATAATTATTTTAGTAATCTGACCATTAATACTGAGCCATTAAATATTCACTAATTACCTTATTTTTGATGGTAAAACAATGGGAGGCTTACTAAGCCTTTCTTCATAGTCTTCAATTAATTTCACTTTCCAATCAAGTCTTTGAATTTGCCAACAGCCAAGGCCAAATGATGTTATAGGAAATAAACCTAATATTATAAGTTTATATTTATTTTCTTTATGCTTTATAAATATATTTTTATTTATTTTTGTTGTAAAAAAAAATTTTTTTAAAGAAATTACTGAATAAAATTTAGAAAATTTATAGGTTCCTTTGAACATAATTTATAATTTAAAAAAATTTTTTTTAATCTTGATATATTTTTTTTAAATACAGAAGGGTACTTTTTTTGCGATATACAGTACCTTCTAAATTTAGATTACCTAAAAAGGGAGTACCTAAATACAGAAGGGTGCTCCCTTTTTTTTTATATTAACGTATGTATGTGCACATTTGAACGCATTATATCAAATACAAATGTGTGACTAATATCACTTTGAGCACGTGAATTTTCCGGTCATAGCTTGGTAGTGTTAGATCCCACCTGGCCAGAGACGTTTAGTACATTGAGTTTAAACATAATATTCATGAATTTGTTAATGGATTAAAACGCTGCAAATCTTTAACCGGCTTATTTACTAAAGCCTGAATAATTAACTGAATTCCCTGCTTAAAACCAAAGCAGCACCTTATTACAACTACTGTGCAACCATCAACACCATCAATATATACTGACAATACTTCTTCAACACACATTCTCAATATCAAAAAGATCCGGGGATAGAGAGCTCCTAGTCAGTGAGATTTAACAAAATAATTGGCCATTCACTATATGTTTTTCCACTTGTTAAAATGTAACAATATATTTATATTTATGAATGGTCAAAGATACAGTTTGAAAATTTAAGTTTAATATTATTGATGTTGATATTTGGATTTATGTTATTGTAATCAGTATTAGGGATAGTCTTAGTGTTATCATGGTTGATGGTGTTATTATAATTAATGATGTTGTGAAGACTAATTGATTCATGGCATGGTTTATTTAAAGTCTTTAGAGTAATCAATTAGTTGTTTAATAATAGTATTGGTGGTTTTAATTTTTCTCATCTTTTCTATGGTCTACTTCTTATTGTAAGCCCCCACGGCATTCTATTTTTTTTCTTGTGAAGTGTATGGATTCCCCTGCTTATTTGGCTCCACTAGCCAGATTTTGGTGAAAAGCTTTCTTTCAAAAGCGTGGATTAACTTGAAGATTTTTGCTTAGACTAGTAAGAACCCCATGCATAGAGTCATGGGGTATTGTCATAAGTGATTTTGTTGTCAATTATTGCTGGATGTTGTAATCCTGAACCTATGTTTTGACCTTTAGGTGTATTGAAAGCAACTTCTTTTTAAAAAATGATTTAATTATTATTTCTGATGTGATGGTTTCGGGATCAAACAAATCACTAGTGACTACACAAACGATTGATTCTTTTTTGTGACATTGTGGATAAAATATAGCAAGTTTATGCATACATAGTATTGTCATTGATTTGCACTTGCTTGTAATATTCAAATATAACAACAATTTATGCATTTATTTTGTTATTATGTAGACGTTATAATACTTTTTATAACATTTTAATGTTATGCGAGATACAGACAGATTCCATTGTAGCAAGATCCTTGATTGCTGTTTTTTTTTCCGTGATCGTCACTGTTAATATATTTTGTGTAATATTTATCATTATTTTCTACAAGTTTTTTGACTTTGCTACCTTTGCTACCGAGTAACCGTGAATTCTAAATTTATATCGCGGATTACACGCTTTTAATTTCTATGAATCTTTAATTCATTACAAAAAAATGTCTGGTGAATATTTTACAAGTGGTAAAGAATAATAAAAAATCATATTTAAATCATGAACTTAATAATTAATAATTAAAAATAATGTTTTTTTCCATTAGATATATCAGATGTTTATTTATTATTTTCGAGCTTCCAAATAAATTCGATCGGTTCTTTTATATCAGCTTCAATAATTATAATATTAATTTGTTGGATAGAAAGATTTTTAAATTATTTTACAAATGATTTAAGTTATAATTCTCCACTTTCAAAAAGATTTAAAACTGTTATATTTAAAAGTATTGGATATGGGATAATTATAACTTTGAGATTTTTTCACATGTTAATTATAATGACAATGAATTCTCAATTATTTATCATAGTGGTATTGTTTAATTATTAATTTAAGATTATTGATTTTTAATTTTTAATTACTGATAAATTTTGCCGACGCAAAAAATTATTTGTTAAGGTTGTAGGATTAACAACTGGTCAATTTATTGTTGAATATTATTTAATTTCCAATTCGTAAGTATCTGTGTTGCTATTATTATTATTGTTTACACATATTGATCATAATATTATTACATATCAATCACATTAGTACTTATTCAACACACCAACAATTAAGCATACACGAAACAGTCTCATCCCCACATACATCATCTCAATCTTTATTACAAAATAAAAATTAATTTCAACTACAAAGGATAATATTGATGATGAAAAATGAGCTAATTAATAACATTAATAATGAGCATATTAATAGCAATGAATATTTTAGCTTAGAAACATACCCATACTTAATAAAATTTTGAGATGTTTTCTGTTAAAGCTGTAGTAATGTAAATTTCTATATTTTTATTGAATATCCAACTTAGTGATGCAATCTGTGGATACTGGTTCATGGTCATACATTTATTCCTTTAATAATTGGGGAGATTTCTAGCAAAAACCAGGCAGGTATGAGGCCATCAGACCAAAATTCATAATATATATCTAGGGTTGTGTCAGTCCAGTCTGGTCCAGTCTCAGTCCCAAAAGACCAGTCTTCTTTTGAAAGACTGAAGGACCGGTCTTTAGATTTGGTCTTTGGGACTGGTTAAAGATTGTTTAAAGGATTTTGATGTGAATCACATATTGCAAAGTGGCTTTTTGGTTGATGTTGATTATCTTACATTTTATGACCAGGTTCAAATTAACTTTTTACACTCATCAATTATTTTATTTTACAAATTTATC